AATAATTGCGATTTGTAAGATGGCATACGTTGACTCTTCAAATTGTTACCTTCCACCTGCAGATAGAATAGTACAGATATAGTCAAACCAAACAAATTTTGATGTAAACTCTAACAATTTTGTAGTAGAATTGCAACAGAACTTGATTCATGTTTCACACAAGTAGTGGGAGATGAACTTCTTACATGGAAGTTACTTTCAAAGGATGAGGAGGAGTCTAATCAGGTATTGTTCCCAATACTGCCCACATTGGCTATGGCAGATGACTTAGCCTGATACGATTTCTCCATTATGCGAATTGGACAATTTGTAGGCATCCATACAAAAGCAGATGCGGGAAATCTGAAATAAAAACAAAAAATGCTGGAAGTGCTTAGCAGGGCAACTACAAGGTGTGGTTTTGGGTTGTTGACAATTCATCAGAACTGAAATAGGCTAGAAATGCAACAGGTGTTAAAGATGTACAGAGATAAGGAAAGCAGAGAGTGGAGGGAGGAAAAAAGGGGAGGTCTGTGATAGGGAGGAAAGTAGGACAGTTTAAAAGATCAAAGGATGGTGCAAGGTTAAAAGGTGATAGTGGACTGATGAGGTAATAAATGATATATCTGGGAAAAGCTGTAAATAAGAAATGCAGAATTATAACCAAAGCTACTGTCGGAAGAAATGGGAGTAGTAGTTATAATCTGAAATTGTTGAACTTGTTATTGAGTCCTGGAGACTGAAGTGTCTGATCAAAAGAGGAGACGCAATCTTTAAGCTTCATTTGAATCAGTAGGAGTTCAGTGATAAGGAGGTCTAAGTGGAGTGAAGAATTAGTTACCAAATGACCAGAGCTCTGGGTCAAGCTTCCAGGTTGAGTGGAGATGTTTGCTAACAGCCACCCAATTTGCATTTGATTTCCCTTGTGTAAAGAGGACTCCATTGTGAGCAGCGAACACAGTACAAAACTTGAAAGAAGTACAAGTAAAAGTGTTGCACTCCCTGAAAGTCAAGTTTCAGGACCTTGGATGATAGGAAATGAGAATGTAGAAGGGAAGGTGTTGCATCTTGTATTTTTAAGTCTGAGTGAAATTTTTTTCCTTTAGGATTTCAAAAACTACCAATTAAAATCTGGTAGTCATTGCCATTACTGACTATAGCTAAACTATCCTGTAAGAATCAAGTATGTAGTAGGTACTACTGAAACTCTGTATTCTCTAGTTCTGGTTTCTCAAACGTTTTGATAATGTGATGTATATCATTGTTATTGTGTAACGTTCAGTGTTACACTCATTCTGATAGTACATGGCAAAGAATTCATGAAATTTTCACATGTGCTCCTACATTGTTTCTGTGCACATAGACCAGTCAGTATCATCCAGATTCATTTTAGATTAATTCTTGTGTGGATCCACGCCTGAAATACCCAGTTTACTTAACCAAGAGAATCACTGAATGCTGGAGATTGTCTGTAGTAGTTGGTGAGCTTCACATGCAGTAAGTAGAAACTTTGCAATTGACAATAAGGTAATGGCAAATGGTTTGCACTATTTACAGAACTTAAGCATGGCTTTTTAAAATGCTGAGGCCTGTGTATCAAGTTCTGAATAGATATTATGCTCCTTGTAGATGTTCTGGCACAACTAATATGTTGATTCTCTTCAAATATGTATATACTCTCGGTTTAAGAATTAAGGCTGTTTAAAACGTTAAAGACATTAAGCAAGATGATCATGGCATAAAATAGCCCAATAATCAAATGTTTTGTTTTATAAAATGCTGTATTAAATTGCTAACTGGAATTGAGGAGTTTATAATTCAGTTATCAACATTTGGATTCCTTTCTGAGTTTCAAAATAATTCCATGTTCAAATGTTCTCTTGAACGATCTATTAAAATAAATTTATTTTAAAAATGTTTCTCCACTTTCTCTCCTGCTAAAGATCATTATGAATAATCCTTCAGTTTATCTGGCACTTTTAACAACTTTTAAGTGGGCATTTTTCCATATACACTCGTAACTATTTTTCAGAAATACTTTTAAAATGTTAGCAGAAAGGAAAGTGTTTATATTCTTTAAACTTAAGTGCACTTGTTAATGTGACATGTTATAACGTATTGTGAATTTAGTACCAGTTTAATAATAAAAATTTACCACATTTCGATGTAACAAGAGGAACATTAAACTTTATGCCGACGTGTCATAAATGCAAACCAATACCCTTTTTTTTTTCTTGTTCAGATTTCAAATATATTTGTGCTTATACTTGTGACCTCTGTGGCTGATTGTGGATTTTTCTTAAAACTACATGACTAATCCTTTGTTCCTGCAGTCTAGCAGTGCCAGTCTCATAATGGCATTTCATTCTCTTGAAACCTAACATTTGAATTTTCATTGTATTAAAGGTCATGAAAAGGGTGCGGAACAAAGTGGATTTACTGTGTTTGCATCTGTTTTGCAGCTGTTTTGGTATCTCCTTTAACCTCTGCTTCAGCCACCCTTCTCGTATCTTCTATTAGATCTAATAAATCGGTCCTGTCATTACACAGATGTTGCACAGTTAGGGACATTCAGCTTATTTTTGAATGATTGTGCCAGCACCCTGAACAGTCATGATATGCTTCACAGCGTATGCATAACATTTCTGCTTAACTCTGGTTTTCCTTCTTGAATATTACATCGGCAGAATTTTGAAAAGGAACGTGCAGATTCATTCATCGTTTTCATAATCACAAATTTGCACACTGTAGTGTTTCATGAAATGTTGGAGTTAAATGCTTGATCATGCTGGGTGCATTTGTTTAGTATATGGTCGCAGCCTCTCTGCTTAATGAAGTATTCATTACTGCAGATTTTGGGCTCACATTTCATTTAGCCTAATATACAGAACATATTTATTTTTGGATAGTGAGATAGAAAATAATTAGATGCAATTAAAAATCGGATGCATTGTACATGACCATGGCAATATTTCTTGCGATTACAAACCTGCCAGTTAGTCAAAAAGTGTGCAATTAAATAAATCCATTGTCAAATATTAATGCATAAGTATTTTTTATTGAATGCTAAAGTTTCTGATTTTAATTTATAAAATCAGCAAATTCTGTACTTAGTTTTGTTTGTAAGCTACAAATTGTTACTTTCTCCTTTATGAAATTTAAAGAACTTTTATTTAATTTGCTTATAAAGATATGAGAAGATTTTTAAGAATAGAAATGGAATAGTGGAATCCAAGAGTCCTCGCAATGATTTTTTTCTTGTGAAACTGACCATGTTTTTTTTTTTGGACTTAATTTGATATCAAACTATCTAATCCATGTTCTTTTAACTGGTTTGTTTCTTGACAATAGGTAAAAATAATTTGTCTTTTTTTTATTATCTGGATCATTGCATTATGATTTCTTTTCCATGTAACCATGCATGTTTTAGGTTTGGACTAGACTACAATAAACGAGTGCATTATATGTAGTCTTTAAAGATTAACCAAGTACCATATCACTGAGAAAATCCTCTATTAAAAGTTAGCCATACCAATTAAATTTTTGTTGGTTGAAGTTTTAAGATCCTGAAGCCAGTACCATGTATTGCTTTTGAAAGAATGCTGCATTTTGCTGGCCTATAGTTCTCTTGCAAAATGTTTGGCGAAGCATTGAAAGAACTCTGAATCTGTATGGATTAATATAACAGAACAGTTCAACATTCCACTTTTAAATAGTATATGTTTAATTTCACCTCAGTTATACTGAGTTTGTTCAAAGGAACATTGCTTTTGTGAGTAAGGAAGTACGGTACCTCAAATGATTTTCAGTTGATGTCTGACCAATATTTTTCATTGGAATTGATAGATTCAATAGAAGAGAAATACAAGTATTGTCAAATTAAAATAAAAGTGTAATTTATGACAGGCACATTATTATATTATTGTAGATTCATTGTAGCTTGGACATTCTTTGGCATAATGAAGAGTCAAGTACCAGGTATAGATATAGCTGTGCTGCAAATTTCTACTCCAATTCAGTTCTGTCATTTTTGTATCTGAGAGTTTGCCTCACCACATCATATGTAGTAGCATCAGGACATAACCTGAGGAGACTTACCATTAACATTTTTTATTTGTGTGCATTGGTAATTAATTATTTTCAATTTAAATCTGTGAGGAAGAAAATTAGGTAAAAATAGAGAGTTGATAAAGTAAGGATAGAAGCTAAAAGGGTAAGTCAAATCATAAAAATAGGATAGAAAATGGGACCAGAACGACAACATCGCTAGGTCAAAATCGTAGAATTCCCTCCCTACTGGCTTTATGGGCCAACCCATAGATGGACTGCAGCAGTTCAAGAAGGCAGCTCAACACCACCTGTCAAGGGCAACTAGGGATGGGCAATGAATGTTGGCCAGCCAGCAATGCCCACATCCCTCCAATGAATTTTTGAAAAATACCACGATTTTGTAATTTAGTGGTTGTGAGTTACATTTACAGTGTTATTGGCACTTAAGCCAATTATTTGTTTCAATAACTTGTTTCAGCACTGTGGTAACGGAGCTGAAAACTAAACCAGTTGACCCAACAAGACATCCAGTTCTGAGGAAGGGTCACCAGACCCAAAACGTTAACACTGTTTTCTCCTCCACAGATGCTGCCAGACCTGCTGAGCTTTTCAAGCAACATTGTTTTTGTTCCAACAAGACACTAATTCCCCTGAATCAACTCAGTACAAATTAATGGTGTCACATACAGACAGTAATTTTGGTTACCGTGTAAATATTTGTTGATATTATGGACTCCTAAGTTCTCTTTCTTAAATTTTGAGACTAAGTTTTGCCTGGCTAATATATAGTGAATTTCTCCTTGCCAACCAGTATTGATTTGTACTATTAGAAAATTGAAAGAGAAGTTGACTATTTCATGAACTAGAGTTCAAAAACATAGACATTGTCTCTGAACATTTGGATATTGTATGATTTTTTGAGTGGCACGAATGGATTGTGCATGAATCTTTCAATATTTCTCTTGTTTCAGTACCTTTGGAGAAATAAAGACTGTGCGATTACCTAAAAAAATGGGTGGAACGGGTGCACACAGGGGCTTTGGATTTGTAGACTTTCTCACAAAGCAAGATGCAAAGGTACAGTATTTTTCAAGATAATCTTTGCCAAATATGTTTCAATATGGATTTAGCAACTATCCTATCACTCGGATAACTTTCATGATTTCAAACTAGTTAATTAAATGAGTGATTGCTTGTTTGTGGAAAAGCTACAAACTCCCTTTTCTTCTGGTGAGAATCTCCCAAAGCACTCTGACGCTTAGCTGTAAATCAGAGCCTGTCCAACTTTCAGCTGCCGGTAGCTACCCTTCTCTCTCCTCACCTGCTCAATTTTTGGGATTAAAACTGACCCCTCATTGTAAATCCATAGATATGTGTGATGTGTACGGTCATTGAATCCTAAATACTTGTGGCACAGAAGGAGGCCATTCAAACTGATATTTAGTTGCTACACTGGTTGTAATTTTCCAAACATCCTCAGATTCAGGAGAGGTACCGGAGGATTGGTAAACTGTCAATGTGACACCCCTATTCAAAAGTGGGTAACTATAGGTAACTGAATAGCCTAATGTCTATTTTTGGAAAAAATGTTAAAATCCATTATTAAGGTAGTAATAGCACCACATTTGGAAAATCATAATCTTATCCAGCAGAATTAACACGGCTTCAAGAAAGGGAAATTGTGTCTAATATTTCTGAAGTGGTTTCAACCAGAGTGGATTGATGGGAACCGGTAGATGTATTGTGTTTGGACTTCCAGGAGGTGTTTGACCAGGTACCTTGCAAAATATTAAGTCATAAGAGCCAATGGTTTTAGGAAGTTGTATCTTGGCATGCCTAGAGAATTGACCAAATGACGGGAAACAGTGAGTGGGGATTAAAACTCACCTCTCATTGTAAATCCATAAGCTTGTGTATTTTTTCTGGTTGACAACTTGTAACCAGTGGGATTCCACAAGGATCAGTGCTGGGACTACAACATTTTACAATATATTTTAATGACTTGAACAAAAGAAGCAAATTTACTGTAGCCAAACTTGCAGATGACGCAAAAAGTGTAAGAAGGCATAAAGTTGGCAAATAGAGTATCGTATTAGAAGACGTGAAGTTGCTCATTTTCAAAGGGAGAATACAAAGAATGTGTAATTTTAAATGGAGAAAAGCTGGAGCATAAAGTGGCTTGGGGGTACTTGTGCATGAAACACAGAAATCTAGTGCACAGATGCAGCAGTAATCAGGAAGCTTAATGGAATGTCGCCCTTATTTCAAGTGGGTTGGAGGATAAGAATAGGCAAGTCTTACTGCAGCTGTACAAGATGCTGGTGAGACCACACCAGGAGTACTGTGAGCAGTTTTGATCCTCTTATTTAAGGAAAGATATCGTTTCACTGGCGGTTCAGAGAAGGTTTGCTAGGATAATCCCTGGTATGGAGAGATTGTCTTATGAGCAACGTCTAAACAGTTTGGACCTCTGCTCACTGGAGTTTAGAAGAATGAGAAGTGATCTCTTTGAAACATATAGGATTCTTAAGGAGCTTGACAGGATAAATGCTGAGGGTGTTTACTCTCACAACAAAGTCTAGAACCAGAACAATAGTCTCACAATAAAGGGGAACCAATTTAAGACTAAGATGCAAAGGAATTTCTTCTCTCCGAGGGGTGAGAGTCTTTGAAATCGCTTATCACAGAGAGCTGATAGGCAGGGTCCTTTGTGTACATTTAGGGCTGAGATAGATCCGTGATCAGGCAGGGAATCGAGGGTTACGGGGAAAGGTTAGGGATGTGGACATGAGGAATATTGGATCAGTCATGATCTTGTTGAATGGCAGAGCAGACTCAAGGTAACGAATGGCCTTCTGTCCCTATTTCTTACTGTCTTAAACCATCATGTGCTTGTTATTTTTCTTGAGTACAGTTTATCTATTCATTTTCCTCATAGTTATGCATGTTTGCTTCAGCTAATTGTGTAGTACCCTCTTTGAAAGCCATGATTAAATCTACCTTTGCTATACTCTCAATTTTATCCTAATGTCACCATTGCTTCTTTTCACAGTCATCTTGAATCAGTGTTCGCTGATTCTTGATCTTTCAAATAAAGAGAACAATTGTTCTCCCTGCCTCTTTTGACCAGATCCTTCAACATTTTGATCATCACTGTCAAATCTGCACTTGATTTAGACTTCAAGGAAAGCTGTTCCAGCTGCTCCATAATGAAAGTTGCACATCCTTGGAACAACACTTGTAGATCTTTTCTGAACTTTAGAAAACCCATATGTAATACTCTAATTGAGACTGAACCAACATTTTACATAGGTTTATTAGAAGACAGGCTGTCTTAGATCAAATATTCTGTCATTTAGAAAGTATTAACTAATAACCTGTTATAAAGAACCTTTAAGGATGAGTAATCATACTCTGGTAGAATATAACAGAATTTTACATTATGTTTGAAGGTGAGGTAGTGCAAATTAAAGCAATGGAGTTAAATTTGAATAAGCACAATAATGAAAGTATGAGGCACTAGTTGGCTGAATTGAATTGGAAGAGTACATTAAAAGGCATGACTGTATATATAGACGACAATGGACAATTTTTAAAGAACCTTTACCTGGCTACAGTAACTCAAAAATGCAAAAACTCAAAAAAAAGTTGGTCAGCCAAAAGAAAAGGCTGACAAATTGTCCAGAAAAAGTAATAAATCTGAGGATTGGGAAATTTCTAGAATACAGCAAAGCAGAACCAATTAATTGATAAAGGAACATAGAATAGAGTGTGGATACAACCTGGCAGAAATAGATAAATGAATTGTAAAAAGTTCTACAGCTACATGAAAAGAAAATGTTTACTTAGATAATTGTTGGTCCATTAAAAGCAGAGTCAGGAAAATTTATAGCACGGTGTAGAAAAAGCAAATGACTACTTTGTGTCTGTGTCAGTTTTTGCTGAGGGACACTACGAAGAATTTTCTACGATTAGAGATCCAAGTGACTAGGGACAATGAAGAGCTGAATGAAATTAGTATCAGTAAGAAAATTGTACTCGAGAAATTAATGGGACCAAAAGTTCAAAGGTCCCTGGGAACTGGTAGTCTACGTCCCAGAATGTTGAAGGGAGTTGGCTGTGGTTATAGTCGATGCATTGTAATCATCTTCCGAAATTCCATACGTTCTGGAATGATTCCTGCAGATTGGAAACTTCCAAGTCTCGCCTGACTATTCAAGCAAGCAGCGAGAGAAAAGAACAGGGACTGACAGACTTGTCTGCTTTCCATTAGTAGCAGGGAAAATGGTAAAAATCTTATCATGAAGGATGTAATAAAGACTCACTTGGAATAAAATGATATGATTGGGCACAGTCAGCATGGATTTGTGAATAGAAAATTGTGTTTGCCGAACTTGATGGATCTTTTTGGGATGTTACTGACAATTGATAAAGGAGAGTTGATGGATATATCTCCCAGATACTGTATCTCCCAGAGGTGGTTTATGCACAAAATTAAAAGTAATATACCGGCATGGTCCAAGGATTGGCCAGCACACAGAAAACAGAGTAGGAATAAATGGGCTGTTATCGCATTGGCAGACTGAGACTAGCAGAGTACTGTAGGATCAGTACTTGGGCCCAGTTGTTCACAATATATATGAATGATTTGGAAGTGGAGACTAAATGTAATATTTCTAAATTTTCAGATGATACAAAGCTAAGCAGGAAGCCCAAGGAACAACACTTCACCTTCCACTTAAGCACTCTACAGCCTCAAGATCTCAACATAGAATTCAGTAGCTTTGGAACCTGACCACTTTGTGTGCCCTCCATTTTTCTCTCATTCTTTTCCTTCTCCCCCAAAGCAGTTTTGTTTTTCTGTCTTATTTACTTTGCACTTGGTAGCAGGACTTATTCTCTCCCCTTCGTTGCTTACTTTGCACCCTGTTTGCATCTTTTTTTCCGCTTCTCTGCAATTAGCAGCTCTTTGTCTTTTGCATTGGGCTTCTATACCGTCTACTCCCTTGCTCCTCCTGTGCTTCTGTCAAAAGTATAAATAATGACCTATTTTCCAATTCTTTTCATTTCTGAATGAATCATACCAGAAATGTCACAACATTAACTGTTTCTCTCCAAAGCTGCTGCCTGACCTGCTATGTTTTATGGTGTCCCCTGTTTGCTTATGATTTTAGCATCCGTAGTATTTTACTTTTATTTACACAAGAATGTGGGTTACGAGGAAAATGTAAAACATGTTTTGTGACTAAAAGAGTGGTGTAGGAAAGAGGGTTTCCTTTTCATGGGGCACTGGCATCAGTTCTGGGACAGGAGGGATCTATACCGCTGGGATGGACTCTACCTGAACAGGGCCGGGTCCAGTGTTCTGGCGAAAAGGGTAAATAGAACTTTGAACTAGTAAGTAGGGGGGAAGGGAGGAGTGAGCGTACAGGGAGTATAACAATTAATGTAAGGCAAAGCAGCAGGTTAGCAGGTGACGAGGAAGCTTCAACTCCATTGACAATTAGGAGAAAAGTTAAAGGGAAGGAGAACTCAAGAGCTGTTAGTAATGGAGGTGATAGGACCCAACAAGAAGGTGCAAAATCTGGCATAAGGGCACTTTATCTGAATGCTCTGAGCATTCGAAACAAGGTGGATGAGTTCACGGCGCAAATCATGGCAAATGGGTATGATTTAGTGGCCATTACTGAGACATGGTTGTAGGATGGTCATGACTGGGAGTTAAATATCCAGGGGTATCAAACTGTTCGGAAGGACAGACAGGAAGGTAAGGGAGGTGGTGTTGCTCTGATTTTTAAGGATGATATAGGTTCTACTAAACAAAAGGTTGAATCCATTTGGGTGGAAATTAGGAATAGCAGGGAGAAGAAGTCACTGATAGGTGTGGTCTATAGGCCACCAAATAATGACATCATGGTGGGGCAGGCAATAAACATAGAAATAGCTAATGCATGTAAAAACGGTACAGCAATTATCATGGGGGATTTTAATCTACGTATCGATTGGTCTAACCAGGTCGGTCACGGCAGCCTTGAGGAGGGGTTCATAGAATGCATCCGTGATAATTTCCTTGAACA